ATTACAGGCGCCCACTACCACACCCTGCTAATTTTTGTATTTTTAGTAGAGACAGGGTTTCACCATGTTCGTCAGGCTGGTCTTGAACTCCTGACCTCAGGTGATCTCCCCACCTTGGCCTCCCAAAGTGCTGGCATTATAGGGGTGAGCCACTGCGCCAGGGGAAACCATTTTCTTTACAATCTTTGTGAGTCCCCAGGTGGATATTTGGGTATCTGAGACCTATGAGATACTTGTCCTATGAGACCTCATAGGATGTTGAGAGTAGGGTCTCAGCATCCTGTGATCAGAAGAATATGGGGAAGATGTGGGTGGGGAGATGTTGGTCAAAGGATACAAAATTTCAGTTGAACAGGAGAAAAATATTCAAGAGATCTATGGTACAACACGGTTACTGTAGTTAGTAACAATGAACAATGTAGCATATCCTGGAAAATTGCTAGGAGGGTTGATGTAACTATTCTTCCCACAAAAAATGATAATTGCATGCAGAGGAATAGATAGGTTTATTGCCTCAATTTAGCCATTCCACTGTCTACACATATCTCAAAACATCATGTTATACCCCATAAATATCTACAATTTAATTTGTCAATTCAAAAAAGAATTTTTTTTTTTTTTAAATGGAGTCTTGCTCTGTCACCCAAGCTAGAGTGCAATGGGTCAGCCTAGGCTCACTGCAACATCCACCTCCTGGGTTCAAGCAATTCTCCTGTGTGAGTCTCCTGAATAGCTGGGATTACAGGCACCCACCCCAATACCCAGCTAATTTTTGTATTTTTAGTAGAGATGGGGTTTCACCATGTTGGGTCAGGATGATCTCAATCTCCTGACCTTGTGATCCACCTGCCTTGGCCTCCCAAAGTGCTGGGATTACAGATGTGAGCCACCATTCCCAGCCCACAATTGTCTATTTTGGGAAATTGAATTTATCAAATAAATCTTCAGCCAACAGCTGTTTGAGCACGATGTTAACATCACACGTAGGAAAGTTATGTTTTCTAGGATCTGACATTTTCAGCAATCAAGAATTACTATATGTTTTAAAGTACACCGTAGTGTATATTAAAAACACCATATTTGTAAAATATAGTAATCTGGAAAGATCCGTACTAAAAACAGAACGCTGTAAGTAGAATGATGTCTTCTTTTGTTTTCGAAGTCGATATATTAGAGCAATGCAAAAATAATAATAAAGGCGAGATATTTCATGGCAACATTGTCTTGGGGTAAATGCTGCAGCCACAAGCGTCACCAGCTGGTATTCTTGGGGCCAACGGGGAAAGAATGAAGGCACGAAGAGAACCATTGATGAATCTGGCTGGACACGATGGCTCATGCTTGTAATCCCAACGCTTTGGGAGGCCAAGGCAGGAGGATCACCTGAGGTTGGGAGTTCCAGACCAGCCTGGCCAACATGGTGAAACCCTGTCTCTACTAAAAATACAAAAATTCGCTAGGGCATGGTATGCACACCTGTAATCCCAGCTACTACTTGGGAGACAGAAGTTGCAGTGAGCCGAGATCGTGCCACTGCACTCCAGCCTGGGCAATAGAGTGAGGCTACATCTCAAGAAAAAAAGAAAAAGAAAGAAAAAAAAGAAAAGAGGCCGGGCGCGGTGGCTCAAGCCTGTAATCCCAGCACTGTGGGAGGCCGAGGCGGGTGGATCACGAGGTCAAGAGATTGAGACCATCCTGGTCAACATGGTGAAACCCCGTCTCTACTAAAAATACAAAAAATTAGCTGGGCATGGTGGCGCGTGCCTGTAATCCCAGCTACTCAGGAGGTTGAGGCAGGAGAATTGCCTGAACCCGGGAGGCGGAGGTTG